AAACTGGAATTGGAAGAACCTGACGTTTGTGCCGAGAAAGAACATCAAATCCGATCCATATTGCGGCCTCTGTTGCACTACATAGCACCAGAATAAACCACCTCATGATCCACTTTCGTCGTAGCCGATAGAGAAGTCCGAGCAACACAGGAAGAATGATAACACACGCAATAAGCAATCCTGGAATGTAGTTGTCAAATACAGACGTAAGAGAAGTCTTGACAGGGGAACAAAAAGTTGAAATCGCCACACAAGCCCACACGGTCAACCGTTGAAGAGCAACACATCCCAGCAAGATGCGCTTGAACGCTACGGACGAGGCCTTTGACATACACATCTCTAGGCAGCGAGTATTCAATTGCGCGTTTTGGCGGTGAGCCATCGCTCCAATTTTGTTAGCCCCGCCCAAAAAACAGTTCCGCAGACGATGATATTATCACAACAATTTCGTAACAGCGTCCTTGGGAGAACATACGAATCGTTTTAAGCTGTCAAATTTAGTTTCAGACCCAGAGTATGAACTCTGAGTATCTTTGTTATACGTCGTAAAAGTTACGAAGCTGACGACTTGTGGTTCTTCTCGAGCTCCATGAATTCAACTTGGTCGGCAAGCGAACTAATCGAGGTTTCTAGCTGCGCAATAATTTGTGCTTCGATAGGAGAGATGCCCGATTCTGCTCCTGTTCGTGGCTGAGCTTCAAGTTCTGCTCGAAGCTGCCGGTTTTCAGCCTGTTCAGCATCAACAACAGTCAGCTTCACTAACTATACCAGCACCCAAAGACTGGGCGGTTACCTCGATCCTTTTCACATATTCTTGCATTTTTCTTTTCTCCGCCTCAAGAGAACTCAGCTGCTCGATGAGATACTCAATCTGTTGTGTAGTATTCACATGTGAGTCTGTTGCTGTATCACCTCAAGTGAACACGCACCGTTTTCACGTGACTGTCTGCTGTCGAAGCAGCTACTTCATCGCTGCTGTCGCCACCTTCATCGTCTTCCGCCGATCTATCGTTGCTATTGTTGTTAGCGCTGAGAGATGCACGGCTGCCGTTGCTAACAGACGATTGGGGCTGAACGCGATCAGCTCGAGCTTTTGGAGAAGCCAAAGTAGACTTTTTTAAGACCGTTTCGGGCGTGTTGCCTTTTCCCTTCGCAACTTTTCCAAGTGTCTCCAGATAGCAGACTTCGACCACTGTGTCTTTGTCAACGCCCCACTCAAGGAGCAAACCGCCGAGTGCCATTCGTTTTTCGCGCGATTCTGTGGCCACCTGCTGAAGATAACGATTGCGGTCGTGCAATATTGAGCCTAGAGTGGAGAGTGTACTTCTTCCAACTTTGAGAATCATAAATCTACGTTAGTATCTTGAGCCATGTTGTTATACCTTGACTTTTATTAAACAGGTATCGTACCTGGGGTTTTCATGTTAGCAAGAGCAAGAACAGCTAAGGTCTGGTTGCGCTTAGTCAGTGTATCGAGAAACAACTCCGTTCCTAGGCGTGAAAGGAGGTTGCTCCCAAGGTTCAGGCCTAGACACACCGACAGTGAGTACCGTGTTGAATAAAGGTCCTTGCATGCAGACGTACCGAGCAGCCACTTGTCGTTGTGAAGTGCGTCGCAGATCGCTTCTGCAGTCTCATCACCAAGGCTGTTGCGCGATAAGTTGATCATCAGATCGGGTGACGATGCGACCGGCGGAGCTTCACCACGCAAGCTAGAGCTCCATGTCGATTCGTCTTTTATCACTCCATGCAGCTGGTCATATCATCGTTTATTGCTGCGGTAAGTATCAATAAGGTGAAAATTTAATGATGAAAGTGACGTTCTTACGGCGATGATTTTGGCGATTGGGTCTTTGGACTTGTCCGTTAGGCCACAACCCGCCAGGGAAACCAAGTGCAGCTCGGGACACTTTCCCAGCGCTATCGCTATGGCTGAATCATTGGCAAAGGGCACGATAAGCTTATAAAGGAGACGCCTAAGTAGTCAACAGTTGTTCAGATTGTACCCTCCAGCCCTTCGTCACCCAAGTTCGAGCCGTTAAGGCTGACATCTTCAAGTCGGTGACAGTGGAAGAGCGCCTATCGAAATACAATACACGTGTTAGTCCATTAAGTATGCACCTAGAATTCTTCTTGTGGACGTACTTTGGATAGAAGTGGCGAAACCTCGGGAGATATACTCACTCCGATAAGGTGGAATCGTACCAAATTTGGCGTCTTGTAGGCCGCTGCGCAGGCCGATCTAACACACAGAGTACTCCAGTAAGAATCGATGTAGTATTACATGTTAGTGTAGACAGGCAGACGACTGCTCACCTCACAACGACTGCTGCTCCTTCATTTTCGTACGCATATGCTCTTTTGAGTCCCAGACGATCAAATTTGGTTCGCAAGTCTACGGATTTGCACAAGTATATAGTACTACGATATGACAAGAAACATGGACGCTTAGTACGCACAACGCACCTCTGTTAATCGTCACAGATCCAAGTGAGAGGCTGATGTGGGAGCAAGTCTTCGTCTTCTGAAGGAACGCCATATTGAAAGCGAGCTGTCTCGACACAAACACAAAACCTCAATACCAATCTGGGCCTATGCACATTTTGACTGCGCACCTCTTCCTTTCCAAACCGATCAAGTTTGAGCACGAATCTAGCCTCCCGTAAGGCAGCCAACAGCCGAGGGTCTAGATCCGCGAGCTTCTCGACGCAGGCTTCCAGATATCGTCGTTGATCTGAGGTGTAGGATTCTTTCGGCGTCGAGTTGCGAACCCGGCGCTTTTGTGCCTTCACCGCAAGCACGTTTTGCTTGCGCTTGTAAGCTTCGATGGAGAGTGTCGTCGCCATGACGAGGCAAAAAAATCTTACTGGTTGTGCAGTACCAGTAAGATTTGTTTTAGTACTAGCCCAAGTGACCACGTCGGTTCGTACTCAGAGTTGACCTCTGAGCCTTTTAGAGGTTACATAATTGTTCTTCTTCTAACAACAGCTTAAGAGGTTGTTTCCAGGCCGAGCTCGAGATACCGGTACTTAAGTGCAAAGTAATAATTCCATCTTTTAAGGTGTCGATATTGGCAATCTGCTTTTGCATTGCAAAAGCGGTATTATATAATAGCAAAAGGGGAGAAACTAACGAGGGCCGGGCCCTCGCACAAAACGTACATTGAGATAGTCAGTAAGTACCAGTATAATACCGGTTTAAATGAATGTAGACGAACTGCAGACGAACCAAAAAGGTTGTCAAACACAAAGAGTTCACCAATGAGTAATACCGGCCCTCAATGTGTTGTCATCTTACCTCCACCCCAATCTGTGTACGCCTCGCATGACCTAGCTGAAGAAGCGTTGCATCAGTGGGCTAAAGATCACGGGCTCAATATTTCACGTCGCCGAGTTCGGTACACAGACGACGCTGACAGGAAGGTGTGGGCACGGAACTATGAGTGCGATCGCTCCGGAGCCGTGTAGAACACTCAGCTCTTGACCGAAGAGACCCGAACGCCCACCATGCGAGGTTCAAAACGCTCAGGATGCCCCATGCGCATTGCACTGCATGCTGTCAGCAAGGCAGATACCGACGGGCCTTGGAAGGTTACGACGCGCGCCTTGGAGTTGTCTCTCGCAGTAAAGCAACCAGCATAGACGCGGAGCTTCGTGCCGGGCTCCAAAGCAAAAATCATGCTGGCTGGAATACTATCCGGGCAAAGGTTACGGGCTCTCACCAAATCACTCTCTTGGTAGTCTTGGTGGGGCTCCTGTTCTGAGCCCCCAGGCATCGACCGCATGAAAGAGAAATACCAGGCTCCCACCCAGGGTGCAGCATGGCGACAACCACCTTTAGACCCTTGGTCAACTCTTGTAGAGGCGCTGACATGGTGCGAGAGCTCACGCGCGATTGCTGTCGGAAGCTGTCGCCTTTACCACTCACGCGATTGAGGACACAATTGTACGGACGCGCTTTGGCTTTCGCTTGGAGCGACGGAACTACCGTATCACGAAGGACAAGGCCCACAGGCAGATAGCCATGCGGAATCAATGGCCCTGTTCGTAGGTCCTCCATTTTAGGCTTTGGAGGGAGATCTGAGAGGGGTAGATATAACGGGAACGCGATTTGTAACGGGAACACGATTTGTAACGGGAACGGTTTTTGAAACGGAAACGGTTTTTAATACCGGTACTGTACAGGTACTTACTGACTATCTCATCTGCCTATCCCAACCGTGTACGTTTTGTGCGAGGGCCCTCCGGATGAGGGCCCTCGTTAGTTTCTCCCTAGCAAAAGTACGTAGCGTTACTGAGCCCGTTTACCAAACATCTGGCTGCTTGGGCAAAACCTCCGGAACGCCGCCAACTTGAACAAAACAGAAAGCTGAGTGGAAATCTGGTATCTTTTGGCCCTCTTCACAAACGCTCTGGAACTTCGAACCTGGAAAAAGCTCGAAAGGTCAGTTTTCAAGATGTCTTCACACTACATTTTTTGGAGCTTCTAGCTCTATTGACAAACATTTTGTGTATTAGAGCTTACAGGGTGCGCGCCCTCCTACATGTGCGCCGACCACACTGCTAGCGCTTCTCGACAGCGCTAGCGCTACTGTAGCTGGACTAAAGGTAGAGGCGCAGCTCCCGTCAACAATAGTGAGAATAGAGGAATCTAGTGCCAGCGAGAGACTAACTCGTTAAGAGTTTTAGCACCGGCCCTATGATGACCACACGCGGAGCAAGCTTCGAATAGGCTCACTTGGCTCGCCTAGCTCATGAATTAATGAAGCGAACTCATCTAACTCGACATTGACACAAACGTCCCCGCGCGCACGATAGGAGCCTAGTATCTTAGCGTGATGTTCCTACTATGAGATGCCAGCAGGCATCCGAGATTTGACAAACGCGTAGCGAGCACTCGCGGAGCTTGTGGTCGTGACACTGCAGTGTCATGGCTACGATTGGCGACGGCCAAGACGCAGGTCACCGGTCCGTCGCACGGAGGCGTGCGATCCAGGAGCCAGTTGGGAGCCTGTGTGCGTAGTGTTCCGGCACGACACTCGGGAAAATGCTAGTGATGAGAGGTCGCAGCCCTTTTGTCTCCGTGCTGCGCACTGGATTCTAGCAGCGGCAGTTGCAACCGCCGGCAACATCGCTGCTACAGCAGCAGCAGCTATCAACAAACAAGCACAACAAACACAGCAACAGCTTGTAGCTTCCCAATATCAAACAAGGGTCCCAAGATGGATGCATGCGCTGTTGCCGTGCAGCGCTTACCTCACTTCTTATTTAAACAGCTTGCGAGCATCTTGATCGTTCCCTCCTAAGTTTTAGCCTGGCAATTCCTCGCTCTCGTCCTTCTTCTTGTTGCCCTCCTTCTTCCTCGCAAAGAGCGCTGTCTCGGCCACCAGCACGCGAGCAACCTCCTACAGCGTTTCTAACCTACACACTATGCGTCCATCGCCGGGCGCAGTACAACGTGCTGCTGGCAGGCAAGAGAGGGGGGGTGGAAGGGAGGGGGATCTATCAAAAATATTTCATCTAACAAGTTTCAAGCATTAGGGACCAAAATGGCTCCCTCTAAATCGGTCACTGAAGTGAATATTTCTTCAAACTTTTACTGCTATTTTAGCAGTTCGAGGGCAAAATTATGCGATGATAAATTTCAGAGCTTCTTCGGGCGAAGCTCAACTTTGTCTGAGATTTCTTAACGCAAAAAATCGATCTGATACATACATGTATTTCTCACCATGATATTATTACATGTAATCGTCATCAATGGCTTATGCGAAGAGGGTCATTGGCCCTCTTCAAAAAAAGGCTTGGAGCCTCAAATTTAGAAAAAGGAAGTGACATTGTCAGGTTCGAGGGGAAATCGCCTTCACGTGCGCTTTTTCGTTTACAATGTTAACTATTCTCTCACTTCCCATTAGGTAGATAAAACATATTAATGATGTGAAAGTCGGGATCACTTTTCTCTAGTAGAACATCTCCCGCGCCTGCTTCGCAGCCGCAGCATCTGCCTGGCTGACTCAGCGTTGTAGTTTTACTTTGAAGTACTACAGTAGAGAGCTGTAGTTTCTGAAATTGAAGCAAGGAATATTCAAACCCAGATTAGAAGCGTGAGGGCGACGATACAGGTAACAATTGTACTTCAAGTATCCTTTATTAATCCAACACAGGTATAGATGTCCATAGCCATCACGGTATTGACTCACTGTATTCAGATATCACTCCTCATTAATTTATGATATTATACCCGGGTGATTATTTTACGGAAACTGAAACACCAGTCGGACCCCTTCCTTGCGTATTTTGCAAGACCGTCGGAGATTCTCTAAGGGGGTGGGCAGCTGCTACCTCCGAAATAAATTTAGAGCATTAGCACGTTTCGGCCTTAATTAATAAGTATACCAGTCAAGACACTGCATAATTAGAATTAGATTAACGCTACGGCAACCATGTCTGCCAAAGCATTGTGTGCAACATTAGATATAAACATTCCCTTCCTTGAAAATCCATCTAGCTATAGAAATATTTCCGAATACATATTGTATTAATACATGTTCACCGTTGTCGTTAAGCAATGCATGTGTCCCGTGCCCGATAATTCAAGTGGTGTTCCAAGCGGACGGCCGCTGGGTCCGGTAGCCCCTTCGTCGGCTAATGTCAACCTTGAAGCTCCTCAACAAGTTTCCCATGCGTAAGTACGCCGACCTCCTCGGAATGCTACGAGACTATTCGTGGGGTCCCGATGATGACGCTAGGTGTCTAGGTGCGCGGAACGCAAGGCGAAGAGTGGTTCTCGATTGCAGTGCAAGGACAAAGGACAGATGGCTTGTCCTCAGAAGAAGTTTAGGAGAGAAGTGCGTAACATCGAAGATCGTGTACGTAAGACCCCTTGGTTATCGGTTTGTTTACAAGCCTCGTATATTAGGTAGTTGAGAGGAAGTGCTTCGCGGCGCTTAGGACCTCACTCGTGAGCCCTCCCCCCCCCTGCCTCTCACAGCTCGAGCGATAGACGACTAAACAGCCCAGGAAAACTCTACGTTTAACTTCAAGGGGAGCGTCCCATTCTACTGTTTCTTTACGGCTCCCCGGCTAAGTGACTGCAATCGATAGCAACCCACGACTACACGACCTCCGGACAGGGAGGGTGTGAGACAAGTTGGTGGAGAAGCAGGTACTCGCCCGTTGAACAAAAAAAGGCACAAACTTCACGAGACACGCGCCATCGAAGAGGAAAAGGTCCAACTAAACGAGATGTCTACGCCTTCCGGAACACGCGGCTCGACACCACACTCAACGGCGCTATTCAGACTGCACCGGCAAGACCAGCGACCACCTCGCCTGGATGACTGGGCACGTACATACCATGGTACAAGGTGCGGCTTCGGAAACCGGTCGTGGCCGAGGAGGCAGCCTTTTGAGTCGAGCCTCGGACCAAGGCAGAAGCCAGTCACTACCGAGGGGAAGCTTTCCCGTCGCGGAAGACTTCGAAGTCACTGACACCACTATTGTAGGCGACATTGAACATTGGGCCAGAATCTAGAGAGGCATAAGAGGTCTATATTTAGGAAAACCTATATCGACATTTAGATATAGGGTGCAATCATGCGTTTAGATTTCGATTTTGTGGTAATTTTTAGCCAATTTCCAGCCGTTTTGGAGCTACAGTCGTTTAAAAATGCCTTCTCAGAACACTGTCATTTTCAGGGGAAAGGCGCGCCAAATACACAGATATGATTGGTCTGGAATCAAAATCATATGTCAAAAAGGAAGATGACACATCGCCCGGTCGCAGATTGCCCTTGTCGATTTAGCATTCAATTCTGCCAGCAGGATGGTGAAACAAATTATAAAGGTATCCGTCACGTCATAATCTCGCTTTCGACCTCTGTCGTTTTCACTGGGCTTTGTACAAATATTAGTTTAAAAAGGAAATGTTACAATATCAGTTATAATTGATATACCTCAAAATCAGTGTCTGGGTTATTCTTTTTCTCATTAACCACGGCGTCAACGGTATTGGGAGCACAACCAAGGCAATCAGAGACCAGTTGGCGTGTCCTGATGCCTTTGAAGAGACCTTGTTCCTTCTGGCTTTTGAAATACTCGTAGCTGTTCACAATCATCCGCTTCTCTCCTGGGCAGAACTCGTGCTTGCCGGACATTTTCGCTGACCTTAAAGGATGCTTCTGGCTAATTGATGAGTTCTACCGCCCTCTCAAGACACTAAGTTATATATAGCACTTTTATTTATATCAAACAGACAATTATTAGACTTTTTACAGTCTGTATAGTATGGGTTACAATTTCTGGCCCAATGTTCAATGTCGCCTACAATACCCAAGGAACCCTTTCGACCGCTGATCAGTCGGGAAAAGCACCCGAACTTGGCGCTTTGTCGGAGGTCAGCCCAACAGCTGCCATTCAAGAATAGACCCGGAGCCAATGACTCGTGAGCGCTATCAATTGGATTCAAAATCAGTTGATGCACTCATCCCGTGGAAGCTCGATACCGATGAACGCTCCTTTAACCGCAACCTTAAACATGCCGAGTTCCTAAATCAAGTGGTGGGGATCCCTATCAAACCGCGTAAGTTATCCTCACACTAAGTGCCCCATGCCGGTAAGTCTCCTTATCCCCCTTGCTTTAAACTGCAACAGCTTAGTCGTGCAAGTGACGAATGATTTCGTACGCCTCCTTAACCTCTCTTTATATTTTGACAGTCACATCGAACGCAAGAGTGACAAGGCTCACGAGTTGGGACTTCATTTCCCAGCGAACCAAACCAACCCCACCAAGCAATATGCCGTCTTAAGCGCAAACGGACCCGCGTTCTCCGAGGTCACTACACCCAAGGGCAACGACGGCGTACGATGAAGTTGCGGAGCGGTTAGCGCTACCTTGTTGTGCTCTCAGCCATCTTGGCGTACTATTCCTGCTGTTGGCTCCGACCTGTAGCGTCGAGAGGCCTACGTAGTTGCTAGCTACAAAAAAACAATTAAGGACAAAAAGAGGACCAACCGTTGATGACCCTGCTTGGCCTCAGTTTTGGTAGATGGTCCTGTGAAGGTATATAGAAATGTATCTTGTACTAGCTCTCTACAGCCATACAAGCAGCTCTTCGTTAAAACTACGAGTTGTTGCATGAGCAGTGTGCCGTAAGCAGGGGTTTATAGCAAATGGTGATATACCTGATACCATGGATACCGTATCCGCATGTTACTCGTATCAGTATCACGTGATACCGCTCGATCATTGGGATCAAGATCACTGATCCTTCTCCACAAATATATTGATCTTTAACGATACTATACTCACGTATCCAGTCAGTTTCTGGTTTTGCATTTAGATTTGCAACCCCCGACAGCTTACAACAAAGACGCCGCAAACGATGGCAGAAAACCCCACAGGAACGACGCAGACTGCCTCAGCAACGGCGCAGATGGATGAAGAGGGTGTGGACGAGCATGGTATACCTCGGGTAGTCAAGCATTGTTGCCAGAACATGTTCAATCCGGTATGGAGATTCATCCACAAGCTATCCCAGCCCATACCAGGATCAAAAGAGCCCACAAGACCGTACACGCACATTTGTATAGTCTGCTGTGATGAACACAAAAGCTCCGACCCAACTGCATCAACGTGGAGGAACTTTCTAATGCGACCAACTACATCTTCCAACGCTGGAAAACACATGTGGGGGCTCACAAGGAGCACTTATTCACATTGGAGACTAAGCGGAGAAAGACCAGTGATGTGGCTAAACGTATTCAGACATATGATAGTGGAGCGTCGGGTGAACAGGGAAAACAGCCAAACCAAAAGAAGCAGCGCACAATTCACGAGGCAATTGCCATTAATGCTGACCAAATGAAGATTTTGTCGACTAGATGGCTACTTTCTTCTGGGTTGCCTCACACGGTACTCCAAAACCCTGAGCTATTGGAACTTTTCCGGCGTTTGGCGCACCAACCTGCGCTATTGACCCCTGCTCAAGATACTTTTTACGAATTTGCTAAAGCAGAATGGCACTTGCTTATCAAATTGGTGTCTGATGCACTGAGCCGAGAGTTTTCAAAAGCAAAAGAGCAGCCATTTATCACGATGTTGCACGATCTGTGGACCAATGCATCGAACATGAATATAATTGGTGTGACTGTCGTATTCGTGGATTCAGAGTGGCGCTTGGTCAAACTTTCGCTCTTGGCGATGCCAAACACGCACGGCCACGCTGCTGGTACTGTTGCTGATCTTATTAAAGCACGAATGCAAGACCGCTACAACATTGATGTGGACCGGTACGTTCGATTCACAGTAAGTGATATGACGGGAAGCGCTCGAAACATATCCGACTGTGGTGTAGTAGAACACACAAATATCGTCAGATGTGGATTCCTTACACAAACCACAACGAATCGCCGAGTTAGGTCGGCGGTTGTATGGCCTGCGCAGAGGGTGGTTCCCTCGCGGTCCGGCCCTTCCGGGACAGACGAGTGGCTCGCTTCCACTCGGTTCCGACTAACCAAGTCAGATCACTTCCGAGGCTCCGCCGAGTTTGGTTCGGCTGAGCTCGTTCACAACCCTGTGCCCTCCACCAAAGGATGGACGACGGCGCGCGAGCGCTTTTACAGGTCACCGAGCGCAGAGGCAGCTCAGCTAGAAGTGTTACGGCACCCGGGCTATCCGACGTACCGGCCCGCTGAGTATGCGGGACTTTCTTTCGCGCGTAGCGAGACTTTGTCCTACCCGGACCGACTTAATCTCTTGGCGCTACCAGTCAATACCCTACAAGCTATGCCTCTCGAGTATTGACGGCAGGCATAATCCAGCCCTATGCAGGGACTTACCGGAAAAGTGTACACGTGTCTTGGACTAGGAAAATTCTGCTCTGTTATCTTCTGGGAGCCTTTTCGGCTCCTCCTATTTAATCCTATGCTTCTCATACAAATATCTAGTGAAATGTAGTCGTTTCGGATCTCTACCGACTCTTCAGGCGGCCGTTGAGCTCAGCGGCTATCCGGATAGCATATCCGGACAGATCGCCGAGTACTTACCGTGATCCTTGGCTCCTAAGTTCTGGGTTATCAGACCGAGCCGATTCTTGACCTAAAGTAGGTCGGCGTATGGTCGAATCTGGAAATCCCTACACCACAACTGCCCCGGTTATGATACGAGCCGAGCTGGTGAGTGTCTTAATCCTTCATTTTGTTCTGCCACCGTTGGTCCGTACTCGGCTGATGACGTCTCGCGGCTCCCCACCACCTTCTTTGGTACGTTCGTTGCTTCCGCTGTCACTCACTTGGCAGCTCCTTACTCTTCGCATGTTGTTCTAGCACAACCCGTGGAACCATCCTTCTTCTCCAACTCCTCGTCGAGGTGAAGGCGTGCCAGCTGAGTCGATTCCTCGACCCGTCGGTACTCGTGGGGTCAGCGACCGGCATGAAGCTAGGCTGGTCGACCTGACAACTTCCCATGAGTCTGACGCGGAGTCGGCGGGGTCTTCTCGCGTGCGCCTTCCTGGTCCACCGAGCTTGCCAGGCGACACCACTTCGGGCGCCACCAATCAGCCAAGCTCGGCTGCTCCAGTGAGTCTTGACTCCCTCATGGCCAGAATTAACGAGCAAGGGCATGATCGCCGAGAAGAATTGACCTTCTTGGCGAGGCTCATGGCTTACGGATTCACTCGTTCCGTGGAACCCTCCGATCCTGTACAGCGGCGAGCGATTTTGCATGCTGCTTCCGCGGGGGAACTGTTGGATATCCTAAAAGGCAATTACGCCGCTCTTGATTACCCCAAGATCATCGGCGATCTCCAAGCTGACAACCAAGCTGTTCAGGAGGAGAACCGCGCATTGACTCGGCGACTGGACTCGCTTGCTCTCAGCAATGTCGACTTGTCAACTCAGCTCTCGTCGGCTCAACAGCAAGTGTCTCGATTGGAGGCTGCTGCCAAGCAATCGGCTAATCTCCTCGCGTCGCTGCGGAAGGCTGTAGCTCTGAGTGAGGCGAAACTTGCTCGGGCCATCGCAGCTGAGCAGAGCAAGGTCGACGCTGCGTTGAGTCAGGCCCAGCTCCACCATCAGCAAGTCTTGGATCGGGACGCCGAGATCGACGTCCTTCTTCGATCCATTTCTGAGAGGGATGCGGCGTTCGTCACTCTTCAGGGCATCGCTTCCAAACACTTCGAACAGCTGCAGGAGTCGGTGCGGTTGTACAGTTCCACCGATACTCAACCCTTGCGGCACGCTCAGTCGGTGATCGCTGAGCAGCGAGCGGTGATCTTGCGACAGAAGCGGCTCATCCGTCGGAATGGTATTATTCCGATGCACGATCCTCACATGGCTGCTGCTGCTGCTGGCGGTGGCTTGCAAGTTCCTGGGCTTGATCCGTCCGACCTTCTCCTCAACGCCCGGCTGTGTCGTGTCTTGGAGTCTCGCTTTCCTGAGGTTCTCAACATTCCCGCTGGTGAAACTCGGCGATTGGAGTTGATTGTCCATCCTCGCCGAGATGCTCCAGTGGCGAGTTCCGTTATTGGTCCTGGTGTGGTTCCCT